GCTTAAAGTATGAGCAGCGGCGGGCGGAGCTTAAAGTTATGAGCAGCGGCGGGCGGAGCTTAAAGTTATGAGCAGCGGCGGGCGGACCTTAAAGTATGAGCAGCGGCGGGCGGAGCTTAAAGTCTCTGCTTGCCGCGGGGGGCGGGGTTTATAACTGTAGTGATTATTATAAGCGCCCTCCCCCGGCCCGCTTCCATCCTTCCTGCCGCCGCCGGTTCGGTTCTGTTCGGACTTTAACACTAAGCTCCTCCCACACACTCTTTATGGTGAAAGTTGCTCGGATGTTAAAGTCCAGGAAAGTTCTGGAGGCCCGGGTCCGGTCCGGTCCGGGACGGCTCTAACGGTCCTCCGTTAGCCGGAGGCTAGCTTCGCAGCAACAGGTCGCTCTGTTGTCCGGAACCGGAACCATGGAGAGCGGGACCTTCTCCAGGTACTCCTGGGTGGACTTCGTGTTCTCGGTGGTCGGGGTCTGCACCTTCCTGATGGACTGGGGCTCGGACGTGTGGGTGGCCACGGAGTTCTACTGCCGGGGGGACTTCTCGTGGTTCGGGGTGCTGGTCGGCCTCATGGTTCTGTCTTCGGTCGTGATCCAGATGTTCAGCTGGTTCTGGTTCAGGTACGACCGGGAGCTGCCGGGCTTCAGCGGACTGGCCGGGTCCGGGATCGTGTTCTGCGGGGACCGGGTCCGGCTCTTCTGCCTGCTGCATGTTCTGCAGCTGGGCTTCCTCTGCAGGTACGGAACCGAACCGGACCGGACCGGACCGGACTCAGGTCCAGATCTGACGTATAGTTCTGATTATTTGTCTGAAGTCTGCTTAAAGTACCGGTCCAGTTCCAGGGTGGTTCTGATGAAGAGGAGACCAGGTGATGAAGAGTTTCAGGTCTTCAGGTGTCCATCAGGACCAGGTCCTGTGGACCGGTTCTGAACCAAGACCCGTTCCTTTTCCTGCCAAAACTGTTGAGTGTTTTTATAAAGTCAGAACCAGGTCCAGGTCCAGAACCACCACAGAACCCTGACCTTAGTCCAGAACCACCACAGAACCCTGATCTTAGTCCAGAACCACCACAGAACCCTGACCTTAGTCCAGATCTTAGTCCAGAACCCTGATCTTAGTCCAGAACCACCACAGAACCCTGATCTTGATCCAGAACCACCACAGAACCCAGATCTTAGTCCAGAACCACCACAGAACCCTGATCTTAGTCCAGAACCACCACAGAACCCTGATCTTAGTCCAGATCTTAGTCCAGAACCACCACAGAACCCTGATCTTAGTCCAGATCTTAGTCCAGAACCACCACAGAACCCTGATCTTAGTCCAGATCTTAGTCCAGAACCACCACAGAACCCTGATCTTAGTCCAGATCTTAGTCCAGAACCACCACAGAACCCTGATCTTAGTCCAGATCTTAGTCCAGAACCACCACAGAACCCTGATCTTAGTCCAGATCTTAGTCCAGAACCACCACAGAACCCTGATCTT